TCTCTGGATCGTGACTCCATCAGGTGCCCACACTCAGCCTCCAGCAAGGCTGGCAGATTGTGATGTTAGCGAACAAATCATTAACTTCACTTGGACGCCTCCCTCGTCCACCTGCTTCTTCCCTGCCTTGGTCCCTCTCCCTTTCCACGATCCCACCAGGATCTCTCGGCTTCCTTCTCTTTTCCCAAGCCTCCTCTCGGTAGCAGAAAGGCCAGATTAGGGCATGACTGCCACCTCCTCCTGCGGACAGCTGGAGGACTGGTGGGGGGAGAGTCTTACCTAGGTGAGCCCCTGCCAGCCCACCGCTACCTTAGTGCCAGCACAGCTAATTAGACTGGCTGTGGGAGAGGAGAAGGGACTCAGCGCCTCCATGCAGCAACGTGGTGGGGAAAGAACTTTCTTGTGTCTGGCAGGGACGCCAGAGACTACTGGCTGGAAAAGGGTGTGATGATGAGGCCATGTCCCTCAGTTAACTCTTCAGTGACTCTGAGATCCAAGACTGCTGCCCCTAGGACACCTGGACACACCAGCCCAAAAGAACACTTTTTGAGTTCTGATTCATTCACAGGCTTTTTTATGTCCTTTCCCACCGTGAGTGCTGCTTCCTGACTGCTCTTTTTCTTTTGTGCAGGTGACAGCAGCGAGCACCCCCTGTTCTGTGTTGAATATTCCCCTTACTGTTCCGTCTTTGCTTTCTCCCCCGTCCAGCAGCCCAATTCCAATTACTGCTGCCTCCTCCTGCCACTCATGCCACCTGCCTCCCCGGCGGCCCAGGCCCCCTCCCCCCACCTCCCCCCGGGGCCCGTGCCCTCCTTCATAAGCCCGCCGTCCCCGTCCCCGGGGCCCGTGCCCGAGTCCCCGGCCGCCCTGTGCTACTTCCCCGTCTCCTGCCCCACCCCGGCGGAGACCCCTGTGCTGTGCCTGCCGGGCCCCCGGAGGCCCAGTAAAATTTACCTGGTGTGGTAAGTCGCCCTTGGCCAGGCACGCAGCACAGCGCCGTCGGGGAGAGAGGGACGCGAGGCTTCCAGAAGGCAGGTGGACGGAACGGGGGGGGGGTGGCAGCCGGAGGACGAGGCCACCAACAACTCCGGGGCGGTGAGGTGTGCAGGGGAGCAGGAAGACGAGACAGCCGCTGCCCCTCCTCCCCACCTCCTCGTACGGGCCGAGGAGTGAGCAACCAATAAAATCCCGTCATCTCGCGAGACTCCTCCGATTCCTTCACTCCCACGTGGGGGCTCTTCTGTGGCGCGGGGGCCACGTGACCGGGCGCGAGGCGATGCGCCGCGCAGGTCCCGGGACGGGGGGAGGGGGGTGTCAGGTGCCTCCTGAGGCTCACGCTGGAACCGGAAAGCCCTTCAGAACCGCGCTGAGAGGGGACAAATTAAAGGGTTCAGTCACTGTTTACATTCCCTTTCCTGCCTACTTATTAGGCACCACATTTCCCCAAATCAAAACTCCCACCTCCTGGGCTCCAAAATAAAACATATTTATGGTACATAATTAAGATCTGCTCAGGGAATGTGAGACGACGCACGTTTCCAGCACACCCAAAGCAGCGAATCGACGCGGTCTGTTGTTTGTGACTGTACGGCAAGCTGCCTATCACACCAAGGAAGCACCGGCTCTTGAGATTAAGCTGTAATTCTTCCCACCGTCTAAAGGAAGCGATAAGTTTTAAAAGAAGGCCTCTCTTAGAATCTTGGCACCTCCTAGTCAAAGGGGGGGGGAATGGGGGGGGGGGGGGAGGAGGTTTAGGAATTGTAATTTTCTCTGTTTCTTTTCGACTTTGTCAAGAACCGTGTCTGTGTATTGCAAGTGACGTCAAGACCTGAACGATGATCAGGCACATGGAAAGAACACGGACCATTAAGTGGACTTGGTTCTCAGTCAGCAGGGCCTCGTATAAATATAAGATGACTACCTGTCTTTTTCCTTTTCTGGTCAAATTAAGAACTATTCAGTCAACAATTACAGTGTCCCAGCATCATCAAGAGAACTAGGGCAGACACCTTTGATCTAAATAGCCATTGGGTTTCTTTGCTACTGGAGGCATCACCTTGCTCAGACACTAGAAGAAGTTGCGGTGTAAAGCAAACCAAAATCTCCCCCAAATTCACTGACAGACTTCAGGGTGTTAAGTTGCGGAAATGAGACTCCTGAGCACAAATCTCTCCCTTCTCTCGAAGGCAAAGGGTCTGTCCTACCCCCCGAAGAGTGTAAATGTATAAATATAACTTGGGTCTTCCTGCAGGTTAATGTATGTCCCATGCCCCAGGGAGGACCATCCTGGAAAGGCCCCAGAGGTCTGAAGTTTGGTTCGATTTGGGTACAGGTAAGGTGATTAGGAACCGGAATCAGGGTCCATACAAGCTATGCAGCCTAGGTCGCCTCATTTGTGACTGCAATTTCAGGTCGTGAAAAAAGAATATTTTGTTAAGAGTTTGCTTTCCATAGAATCCAAAGGGTATCACAAGGAACAAGTCAACGGTGCAGTCCAATTGGATTACAGTCTTTAAGGTCATGACCAAAATGTCTTACTCATCTTTGTGAACCCTCAAATTATTACATAGCAAAGCACACAGGTATTTGTTGAATGGATTATAATAGGGAGTTGTTATTTGCCTTTTGGATTTTATAGAGGATTGAGGGAGGGAGTCAGCCAGAACTGCACAGCAATGAAGGCTGCTGAATAGATTATTCTCAATCCATGAAACCTGCATAACAAGTTTCTGGTGCAGTCCAGTTCTCTCATGGGAGTGACTTCAGATTCCCAGTTAGTAGTTGTAATAGTAGTAGTAAACTGTTTATGGTAGAAGCTGCGGCTACCATTTAGAGCAACAAATAAACACCTGACACTGAGTGAGGCCGTTTATGTACGTTATCGTGAAACTTGGCAATAATTCAGCAAAGTAGGAATATTCCCATTTTACAGCTGCAGATACTGAGGTTCAAACTGCCCAAAGTCAGAGGCTCCTGCCCACACTACCAGGTTCACCACCAGACCTATTAAAAACAATCTCTAGGTTTTCAGCTTTATGACTTTAATTTGCTGAAAACTCAGAGATGATATGGTAATTTTTAGAAAGCATTTAAAAGATCTGGTGCTTTGAAGAAAGCATTTTTTTGAACAAGAAGACAAAATAACCTGTTAAATTAAGTCATGTTGGTTGTTTAGCATGAGAAAAAGTTTATTCTACTTTTGGAATCCCCTGTAGTAGCTGGGTAGCTGAATGCATCTTCGGAAGTCCTGCAAATCACACTAAGTAATATGACTATTTGTCCTACAGGAGACACGGCAATATAAGGCTGGCTAAGACAGGATCCTCATCCTTAAGGAGCTTACTGTCCAGTAGGAGAGAAAAGATGCATACCTTAGGCAATGTTAGAATATGCAAATGCTAAAGGTCCTAGGAATCCTGAAAGTTCTGGCCAAAGCAGAGTCAGAGCAGAGACAGGGGCCATAAAACTGGAAACAGACCTAGGAGGACCTCCTGGCTGGGACAGGCTAGGGAAGAAAGGTCCTTGGGGAGGAGGATCACACCCCTGGACTGTGTGAGGGTGTGGAGGGGGCTGGGGGTTGGGGGCATGGGGCTTTGGGCATGTGAAGTTCTGCTGCCTGGCGTGTGAAGGAAATGTGAATATTCTGATGGGATCCCTGCTAGGAATCAAAGTGCAATCCTTGTGCCTAGGACCTTTGGGCCCGAGCCCCAAGCCTTCCCCTTCCCTGGTGCCCCCTCTGTTGCTTCCTCAGTGAGAATTCTGTTGCCTCCTGCCCTGTCATCAGGTGAGGGGCAGGAGGGAGTTGCTGACTGCTGATTACTGGGAGGGATGAGGTCCTAGGTGACTAAGGAGAAACTCTTGGTGCTGAGAAGCTGCCTCCCTCACCTCCTCCGTGCTGGGTCCTATACTGTAAAGCCCCTCCCACTCTCCTTGAGGTCAGGAAACTGTGTCTCATCACCGCCCTACATCCTCTGAAGAATATGTCCTCATTTTCTGGAGAACTCCCTTCTCTCCTTCCTGGTCACCTCTCCAGGCTCCACCAACTCGCCCCACATGAGCCTCCACCACCGGCAGCCCCCTCTTTCTAGCACATCCCCAGTAGAACATAGTCCCCTCTGTCTTGGGGGGCACAGAACCAAGTGCCTCCCCCTCCTGGGGCCCATCAGGAGAAGCAGGTAGTACCCAATCATTGTATTAAACTTGGCTTCATGAGCCGCCCTGGAGAACTTTCATTCATTTCCTGAATCTGGACGAAAACTATTCATGCAATCACAACTTACACTCTGGAACATAAATCCAGTTGTCTTCACCGGCCAAGAATGGCTGCTCTCCCGCACACGACTCAAGGACCTTCCCAGTTTTACCCACGTTGCCTGCTGGCATGGTTATTTGTGAAATTTCTGAACTGTCCAAGAGGGGATGAGCTGGGCAAATTCTCTTGGGAAGATTTAGTTCAGATATTCACAATGTAACTGCCTTTTAAACCCAAGAACTTGCAGAGGGGCATGGAAAATACCGGAACTCTTGCCCCAAACTCCACAGGCGCTAACGCTTCATACACACACGGAAGAAATGTGAGATTATTCAACCCAATTAGCGACCCAGTTCAAAATGGGAATTAAAAAAAAAATTCATTGGGAACTCGATCTGTGTTAGCATTCCAGCTACCGTCTTCCTGTGAGTTTATCATTCTGGCACAGTGGTGGGTAACACATAACCAAGAAAACAGGTATACTTGATAGCCCAGATGCCTGGAACCTTTCTGGAAGGCCATGTGAGCTGCTAATAAACCACCTGAGGATAGGCAGGAACAAAATCGGCTGTGATTCAACCTTGGAAGAGCAGTTGGGGAGAGGGCCTTTGTATGTCCCAACTGCAGGTTTTGACAGTGTTACCAATATGTCCATCCCGACATCTATGAACTGGAAGCTAGACACTTCTTAGCAAAAGGACACACCCCGTATAGACTCTGCATTACAGGTGTCACACATGCTCATTCATGGTGATAACAACCTTGCAAAGTAGGTATTATTTTCATTTAACAGGTAGGGAAACTGAGGCTTCAAGGGGTGAAGTGATCTGCCCAAGCTCACACAGCTCCAAGGTCCCAGAACCAGGTTCCAGATCCACGTCTTCTCTGACCACCTGGGCCCAGTCTCTTAACTGCCTTCCCCACTGCTGGGCCCTTTGAGTATTCTTTATGCGGAAGCTGTTTCCCTGTAAAAAAAAAATAATAATTATTATTATTATTGAAAAGCTTTTGTACCTTTCAGCAGCCCAGGCACCACAGATTTTATCAAGGAAGAGGACGCCAAACCTGGGGAGACTGACAGTCAGCCCAGAAACGCAGAGCCCAAGAGTGCCGGGGGACAGAAGCAGACCGAAGGCACAGGCCCTCAGGGGACCAGGTAAGGACTCGTGGCTCATGCGTCTTGGTCCTCGGAGAGAACTGACTTGCACTGTTACCCGCCCCCCCGTATGGTTTTTAGACACTTATGCTTTTATGTGAAGGAGAGTGTACCTTAAAATGAAATGCTTAAAAGGTTTTGAAAACAAACCATTGGATCTACTTCCTTCTCTGAGAACAGGAAAAGGTAAGGCAGGCGGAGAGTTTTTTCTTTTTTCTCCCATTTATTCCATTAAGTGTGATTGTGCATGGTTTTGAGTGGAGACCAGCAATTTGGCTTCTGGAGAGGGCATCTGGGTGGCAGGTGGTGGGATCAGGGTGGGGAACGAGGGGTGGAGAAGCAGTGTGCAACTCTGGGGATATCTCATCTGGCCCAGGAGGGGTGGGTGCATGGGTGTCTGTGGGTGGCAGACTGCTCACATCCCACAGGGATCTTCTCACCTCCGACCCAGGGTGTCAAGATCTCGGTGTGTAAGAAATAACATCAGAATAAATATATGCTTTATTTCCAAACACTGGTTTAGCGGATACCTCCTCTTTCAGTCCTGAGCATCCAAAGACCCAAGCCATGCCGCTCCACTGACCACGTTACCCTCCCCTGTGGTGGCAGAAGGAACAGGACCCAAGGAGCCTCCATGGGACTCCAAAGAAAGTGACACTTGACAGCCAACCTTGCCATGGACCTAGTCTTCCCCTTGGAGAAACCACTGAGCGTCCCACTTCCTCACCACCCAATGAATGCAGTAGGCTTTATTTTAACATGTGATCTATGCTTTGGTGGACACCTGTAAATGTAGAACATGGTAGTGGCTTGGATGGCTTGGATTAGGGGCAATGAGAGCATATGTGAATCTATAGCGATCAGATTAGACGATGTTAGATCTTAGATTAGATTAGAAGATGTTAGATCTTCTAGTGATCTAACACCTCCTATTGAGAAGGGCAGACCTCCCTTCTAATCCCTCCCAAGTCTTCTTCCTCCCAGCCTTGGAGCCTGGGCTGGTTATGTAGACATTCTGGGTTCTGGTTCCCTTGTCTAAAAATCAAGATAATAAAATCCACCTCTCTGCATTGCTATAATAACTAAAGGAAATAATACATTGATGAGCACCTAGCTCTAGTGGGTACAAACTATTGTTAGTTTCTCTCCTGCCACCTCCCCAGTGGCCCTAGTAAGCCCCTGAATATTATCTGAAAGGTGAGGTTCCCCATGCATAGAACGTTCCCAAACCCATGAGGCTCATATAATCCTCCACCTGTTCCCAGAAGACATTTTCTGTTATCCTGAGAGTCACTGAGAATTTGTCCTAATTTTATGGTATATATTCAGTTTTTTCTTATATAAGGATAAGGACTGCTTGTCTTCCCCCAATTTTTTCCTCACTAGTCTCCAATTGTTTCTCTCGCATTCTAAAGTGGTTTGCATAAATTAGAGTAGGAGCCAGATGCTTGAATTGTATCAGGGAGAGATTTGAAGCAAATGTGACAAAGAAGTAATATATAGAAAGCTCTTACAAATCAATAAGAAAAACATGAATACCTAATAGAAAAATGGGAAGAGGCATAGCAGACAATTTCACAGAAGAAATGCAGGTAGCAAATAAACATTTGAAAAAAACAAAACAAGTTGAATCTAAGTAATACATGTAAATTTGCACGAGATCTATTTGGCCTCCCAAATTGGCTAAGGCTTTTAAAATAGTACTCAATACTGGTAGTGAAATGCGTAGCATTTCCTGGGCACTGGTTGTGTCCTGGTGACACAGCTATGAGAGATGCCTTCATATCCTACCTGTAAGGTATTTGGTACAAACTGGAATTTGGCAACATGTGTGAAGTGTCTTTAGAGGGGTCATATCTTTTGACGTAGCATTCCATGCCCACGAATCTGTTCTCATGAGACACATAGTCAAAGATGTATGAGCAAGGACATTTATCATGGGGTAATTTGTGACAGCAAAAACTGTGAAACAACTTACATACCCAGGAATAGGAGAAGAGTTAAATTATGATACATTTATGTAATGTACTTAATATCCTGCTCTTAAAGAATAATTGAATTTATGGCAGGAAATCATGGTCACAATAAAAAGTTTAGGGAAAGAAAGCAGGACATAATGTTGTATGTACCCTAATATTCCAATTTTGGTTTGTGTTTTTTTTTTAAAGTATGTCTAGAGAGCTCAGAGTTGTAAATTCAAATGCCTTCAAGGAACAGGCAGATGTGGCAGGAGAAACACATATCCAAGGCTGTGGGGACTGAGGTAAACCAGAACATACAGCCTCCCCCTGAAGGTGGTTGCCTCAGAGTGCAAAGCCTGAGCCAAAGCACTACTGCAGGATGAAAATAGCCTGGGGTTCTTGAGTTGGCAACCCACCTCTAGAATTCCAGAAAAAAAGCAACAGCCCTCTGAGTTTTGGATTTTTTCCTTCTTTTTCATCTTCTTCTGAAAGCTCCAAATTTTCTCCAAATGAATAGCGACTACTTGTATAACCAGAGGAAAACATTAAAAGTCTATGGCTGTTGGAATATAGGAAGACCACTGGTTGGTCAAGCACATGAAGAAGTCTAGGCCAAAGCCATAGCCTGAGGGCAGACAGATGCTTTTTCTGTCTTCATCTTGTTGCCTCTAGAACATTTGGTCACACCTAGTTGAATTCCCGGATGTGGGAGGCCCTCCCTTCTGAGCTGAAGTCCACACGGGGCCCTAGAGGCATTCGGCAGAATCTGTAGGGCCCGGTCTATGAATAGCACATCCCGGCATACCAAAGGGAGTGTTTAGTCCCAGCCCTGGAGCTATGAAATCTGCTCCCTCTCTGATAGACGTAAGAAATCGGGGTTAAAATAGCATAAATATAGAATGGTGCAGTCGGCCACCTTTAGGGGAAACATGCCAGGAAGGCTGATTGAACCTTTAAAGAGGAAGGCAGTGGTGGTGACAAAGAAGAGTGAAGATGCATTCCCTGCGGTAGGTACGCTGGGACCCACAGGAGCCACCCTGCAGCGACACTGGCTTCTGAACGACTGTGGTTCCTGTTGAGTGTCCAGTTCCGTGTTTCAGAAGCTGCCCTAGCTGCTGATTTTGTGTAGGTGTTTCCTGACGCCCAAATTAAATTGGCTCAGGGCAGAGGGGCAGCAGTGTGTTCAGGGACAGACCAGAACATTCAGGTTCCAGCGCTGGTTAGCTAATCTCCGAGGCCCTTCATCAAATTCAAAATGAAAAGTAATCAACCGGAGCCTGCATTTCCAAATCTCCTGTTATCACTTCCCTCCGCCCCTCCCGGCAAAAAAAATTATCAAGAGAATTCAGTTGGTCACATAGAAACATGTGTCACTCAAAATGCGATCCGAACCAGCTCCACTCCTATACGCACACTGCCAGATGCTCAGAGCTTCCTGGAATTGCTGATACATCCCTTACTGGGGTTTCTAAAACCCATGAGGGGCCTGAAAGGAGAGCTTAACTGATTGCTGTTAGAGCTGATGAGTAAAAATGCACACTGCGTCTTCGCTGAGTGTCCTATGCAGTTAACAATAAAAGAGGCTTACAGAGTATTAGGATGTTAGAAACTGGTGCTCCCCGGGAGGCCCTCAATTAAAGTGAGTCAGTATTGACTTGGCCCTTGGCTGGGCCAGATGCTCCAAGGTTTTGCAAATCAAATCCTTGCCTGAGCTAGTACCCACACAGGCCTTCCCGAACCCTCAGAGTCCCGTGCCCTCTATGGGGTGAGTGTCTTCAGAAACTGAACAATAAGGACAGCAGCACCTCATTAGATCCTGCAGGACAGCACAAGGGGGACAGGGCAGGAAGGAACAAGGAAGGGAAATGGAATCAGAGAAGTACTTTCAGGGTCCTATCCACATTGCGAGGGTAAAAAACCCTGAGCAGCACACACAACATCACAATGGATTAAACAGATTCTCATTTTCACGAGGAAATGGGAAGGCCAGCCAGTTTCTTAAGGGGACACAAGGTAGGGATTAAGAACACATCCCGTAGCATCAGGCAGGCTTGAGTTTGAATGATTGCCCATCACTTACTAGAAATATGATCTTGGGTAACTGATGGGACCTCCCTAAGCCTTGGTGCCCTCAATTATAGTGTGGTGTGATCGTGATACCTGTTTCATAGGGTTGTGAGGCCCAACTGGGTGTATGTAATACAGTTAGTATGGTTCCTGGCCCGTTCAGTACAAGCCCTCAGTAAGTAGTGCTTATTTGTTATTTTTATAAGGTAAGTTTTGACCATGTGATTTCACTGCTAGAAATTCCTACCCATTTGGGCACTTTGCCTCCTCCTCTCTGTACATCTCTTCATACTTTAGAATCAGGAGGTAGGGGAGAAGAAGTCTATCATAGCCAGAGGTTATAGATCAACTGGGGGGCTAGTGACAAAGAGAAAGTAATGATCTCATGAGAGAGTTATAATTTTTATCGCACTAAGCAGTAAATGTAACCAAAATCATCAGGGTAACTGGACACCAGCTTCTAGAGCCTTCCCCCCCCATCTGCCAAGGTAGATTATACTTTCCTTAAGATTTTGTAAAGCTGTGTGTGAAGCAGGAGTATCATAATTGTATGCTGAATGAATCCAGATGAGGAGGCACTGGTGGTTTTTGTAGAGTCTGGTTTTCCTTCTCCATAAATGCCGGAACAAAAACCATCATTTGAGAGATTTACCCGTTATCAGCCCTGGCTGACCTGGACTGGACAGTCTTCCCAAAGCTTCTGCAGAAAAGACATGTATCCTCAGGGTCACCCTGTCTCCCCAGAACCAGCCTGAGCTCCACAAATGTACAAAAGGAGAAT